CACCACGCCTTTCTAGTAGGTGTGTAGTGATTTAAAATATCTCATACTGATTTAAATTTGCATTTTTGTAATGATTAATGATGTTGGGCATGTTTTCATGTGCTTATTTGCCATCTATATGTTTTGTGGTGAAGTGTCTATTGTAATCTTTTGCCATTTTGTTTGTTATCAAATTGTGAGAGACCTTTATGTAATCTGGATATAAGCCCTTACCAGCTATGTGTTTTCCAAGTATTTACTCCCAAGCTGTGGCTTGTTTTGTTCTTAACAGTGTCTTTGGAAGAACAAACATTTCTATTTTTTTAATTTTTAATTTTAAAGATGTGGGGTACAATTCAGGGTAAAGTATACAAATGTTCATTATGCAGGTGCCCTTGTCTATTTTTGACAAAGTTCAATTTATCAAGTTTTTCTTTTATGGTTCATGCTTTTTATGTCCTATTTGGCAAATCTCTTTCTAACCCAGAGTAACAAAGATTTTTTTCATATGTTTTCTTCCAGGAGATTTATAATTTTAGTTTTTATATTTAAGTCCATGACTGTTAATGAGTTAATTTTTGTATCTGGTGTGAGGTAAGGGTCAACTTTCTTTTATATTTTTTGCATTTTCATTTTCAATTGTTTCAGTAACATTTTTGAAAAGACTTTTTTTTTCAGATCAACTACTAATCCATTCCTTATTTGACATCAACTTTAAAATGACTATGATTACTCTGCTAAAAAAAAAAAATACACATCAAGAGTAAGAATTTCACTGGGGAACTAGGATATTTAAAATAATCTAATGAAAATTTAAGATTAAGAACTTAATATATAGGCTTAATAGCATTTTAACCAGAGCAGAAGAGAAGTAAGAAAGATAAATTACCATCAAATATCTACATTCTGGAGACTATACTTTATTAATTAATTTACTGTGGAATTCTTTTTGACAATTATTTGAATCCATGTGTGTCAGTCTGTACACCAGTACCAGATTAAGTATCCTGAGTCCAGAAATCCCAAATCCACAATGCTCCAAATTCCTAAACTTTTTGAGTGCTGACATGTCACTCAAAGGAAATGCTGATTGGAACATTTCCAATTTCAGATTTGTGGATTAGTTCAGCTAAATGGGTAAGTATATAATGCAAATATTCCAAAATCTAAAAAAATCTGAAATCTGAAACACTTCTTGTTCCAAGCATTTTGACTAAGTGATATTCAATCTGTACCACATGTCTTAATTACTGTAGCCTCTATTAAGTGTCAAATCAGGTAGTATGAGTCCGCCAATCCTGTTCTTTTATTATAATGTTTTAGCTATTCTATGTCCTTGGTATTTTCCTATACATTTTAGAATCAGCATGTCAGTTTCTGCAAAAAAGCCTGCAGGAGATTTTGTTTGAGATGCATTGAATCTGTGGATCGCTGATGTACAATATTGAGTCTGCTAATTCATGAATATCTCTCCATTTACTTAGACCTTTTAAAATTTATTTCAGTAATATTTTGTAGTTTTGAATGAACAAGTCTTATACATATTTTGTTTAATCTACCCCTGTGTTTTATATTCTTATAAATGTTGTGTGTGTATACAGTTATTTTGTATTTCATTTTCCCATTACTCACTGCTAGTTTATAGAAGTATAATTGATTTTTCTATGTTAGCTTCATATCCCGAGACATTCGTAAGTTCACATATTAGTGCTAGTAGAGTTTTTATAGGTAGTTTGGTATTTTCTATGTAAACAATCACATAGTTGAAAATAAGGACAATTTCTTTCCAATCTATATGCCTTTACTTTTTTTCCCTTGCCTTATTGTACTTACTGGCTAGGATCTTTAGTATAATGTTGACTAGGAGTAGGGAGGGCAACATACTTGCCTTGATCTTGATCTTAGGACAGAAGCATTCACTATATCACCATTAGTTATAATTTTAGTTGTAGATTTTTTCATAGGTGGCCTGATAAAGGTTGAGGATATTTCCTTCTAATCCTGATTTTCTGAGAGTTTTTATCATGAATGAATGTTGCGGGTTATTTTTATGGATCAATTGCTATGAATATGCTTATTTCTCCTTTAGATTGTATCTTATATAATTATTGGTATTACTGGATTTAGTTGTGCCACTTTATTACTTCTTTTCTGTTTGCCCCCTCCACCCCCAGCTTTTTCTTTTGTTGGTTTGTTATTGTTGTTCTGCTTACCCATTCTTCTCTTTAGAATCAGCATGTCAGTTTCTGCAAAAAAGCCTGCAGAAAATATTTTGCTATTACTTTAAATTAAACATTCTATTTTAAGATGATTGTAGATTCCTGTGTATTTGTGAGAAATAATACAGAGAGATTCCATGTACCTTTTGCCAAGTTTCCCCCAATGGTGATATCTTGAAAACCTATACTACAAATCACAACAAAGATATTGACATTGATAAAGTCAAAATACAGAACATTTACATGACCACAAGGATCTTTCCTATTGCTATTTTATAGCCAAACCCATTCCTTTCCACCCTACCCTTTCTTAATCCCTGATAACTACTAATTTGTTCTTCATTTCTATAATTTTGTCATTTAAAGGATATTATATAAATGGGGTCATACAGTATGAACCTTTATGGGATTGGTTCTTTTCACTCAGCATAATTCTCTGGACATTCATTCTGTCGTGTGTACTGACAGTTTCTTCATTTCTGTCACTAAGTAGATTCCACTAAATGGATGTACCACAGTTTAACTGAATATTCACTATTTTTACTATTCACCAATAGTTTAACTGTTCACCATTTGAAGGACATTCCTATTTTCAGTTTCATTCATTTCTGCTTTAATTTTTATTATTTCCTGTGTGATCTTTCTTCACTTCTAATAATATGCATTCAGTGCTCTAAATATCCTTCCAAATGCTGCTTTATCTGTGTCCCACAAATTTTGTTACATTTTTCATTTATTTCAAAATATTTTAAAATTTCCCTTAAGACTTAATTAGAAGTAAGTATATCTTTAAATTTCCAAATATTTGGGGTTTTCCAAATATCTTTCTTATTTATTTTTTGGCATATTATTTTTGTTGCACATAATATGATTTCTTAGAAATTTGTTATGGTCTGTTTTAAGATCCAGAATGTGGTCTATCTTGATGAATGTGCCATATGCACTTTAAAAGAATGTATATTCTGCTGTTGTTGGATTCAGTGTTCTATGAATGTCAATTAGGTGAAGTTGGTTTATGGTGCTGTTCAGATTATCTGTATCCTTGCTGGTTTTCTGTCTACTTGTTCTATCAATTATTGAGAGAAAGGGTGTTGAAATCTCAAACAATAATTGTGGATTTGTCTGTTTCTCTTTCAGATGTATCCATTTTTGCCTCATGTATTTTGAAGTGCTGTTATTAGGTACATACACTTTTAGGATTGCTATTTCTTCGCAGAGAATTGACTGTTAATATCATTTTGTAATGTCCTTCTTTGTCCCAGAAAATCTTTCTTGTTCTGAAGTCATTGTCTGAAATTAATATAGTTAGTACAGCTTTCTTTTGGTTAGGTTTTTATGGTATATCACCATCCATTTACATTTTTAAAAATAGACTTTGTTAGTGCAGTTTTTAGTGCATTTACAGAAAAATAGACTGACTACTACAGAGAGTTTCCTTATACCCCTCTCTATCCCCAGTTTCCCCTACTAGTAACACCTTTATTAGTGTAGTACATTTGTTACAATTGATAATGAAGACTGCTATATTATTAACTAAAGTCTACATTTTACATTAAGGTTCTATCTTTTTGTTGTTCAGTTCTATGGGTTTTGGCAAATGCATAAAAATCTAGCATTACTGTATCATACAGAACAGTTTTACTGCCCTAAAAAGAAAAATCTCCTGAACTTCACTTTTTCATCCTTTCTCCACTTCCTCCTGGCAAAGTACTAGTCTTTTTACTATCTCTATGGTTTTGCCTTTCCCAGAATGTCATATAGTTGGAATCATAGTCTGTAACCTTTTTAGACTGGCTTCTTTCAATAAGTAATCTGCATTTAAGTTTCCTCCATGTCCATGGTTTGATAGTTCATTTCTTTTTATTGCTTAATAATATTCCATTGTATGGATGTACTAGTTTGTTTATCCATTCATCTACTGAAGGACATCTTGGTTGCTTCCAGTTTGGGGCCATTATAAATGAAGCTGCTGTAAGCATCCATGTGTAGGCTTTTCTGTGGACATAAGTTGTCAACTCATCGTGGTTCATTTCCTTTTAAAGTTTGTAATTTTTTTTACTGTGAACTCCTTTTCAGTGAGAGTTCTTTTCCATGGAAATTCTATACATCTTAAGCTATAAAAACATCATTGCATAACTATTTGGATAGTGCCACTGCTGGGGCCCACTGGTTTCACTAATGCAAGACCAATTTTGGGGTGAATTTTTCAACTTTGGAGGTTTTGTATTATACATCAAATGTCTGTTTGGAATGTACTCCTATATGTGGTACAGGGCTATGGTTCTGAATTCTTATAAATAACCCCGGAGTCTTCTTACCATTTTTTTTAGCCAGTGGGTGACATCTTTCTAGTTCCTGTTTTATAAACAGATGTCTACTGTGACTCCCAGCTTCAAGCAGGTAGCTCAGTTCCAACTCTCTGCACATTTGTACCCTGTGACTAGGATTTCACTTTACACTCATGAGTAGAGCCTTGGTCTCCCAACTGCAAAGCCACACAGCTTCAATTTCTGTTCACCCCCCCACTTTAAATTTCTTCTTCATTTTTGTCATATAATAAATTTCTTTTCTTGGTTCTGAGCTTAGCTGAATATTAAATTATTTCTATTAAATTTGGGCCAGTATTTCTTTGTACTTGCACTCAGGGGAGGTCGTGGCAGTGAGACATGGGAAGGATCCATTCACATCAGGTCAAGTCATATTAATAGGAGTTCACTGCAGGGCATTTAGGGATTAATGTTGCTATAACATTATAGTGAGAAGACTTACAAATTTGATGACCGATTGCATTTTTTTTTCTAGAAGTCTGGCAAGGTGATGAGCAGATAGATAACTACAAAGAAAGCCAAGGCAAACCTCTGTGGCAAGCTGCATATATAGGCAAGAAAACACTGAAGGATAAAAGTGGTCAAGATTGCAGAACATATAGAGAAGTCATTTATCTGAGCACAGACTTTGTTTCTATAAGTCAAAGACTCCCTAAATATTCATGGGGAAGTTGTTCAAAACATAATTTAAACCTTCTTTGTCAAAATAAGAGCTATGTAAAAAAGAAAAATGGTGGATATGAGGCATATTGGAAATTAGACCTTCATTCTAATCTTGATAAAACTCAACCTGCAGAGAGATTTTTTTGACCCTAATCAGCGAGGAAAAGCCCTCCACCATAAGCCAGCCCTAAATAAAAGAGAATTCAAACTAGGAAGAAACTCTATGAATGTACTGAATGTGGAAAAGTGTTTATCCAGAAAGCAAACCTTGTTTTCAGCACTCACACTGGAGAGAAGCCTTATGAATGCTGTGAATGTGCAGAAGTCTTCGGCCAGAAGTCAACCCTCATGGCAAACCAGAGAACTCATACAGGGGAGAAGGCCTATGAATGAACTGAATGCGGGAGAATGTTTATCCAGAAGGCACCACTTATTTCACATTAGAGAATTCATATGAGAGAAAGACCCTGTAAATGCAGTGACTGTGAGAAAGACTTCAGTAAGAAATCAACTCTCATTAAACACCAGAGGATTCATATAGGGGAGAAACCTTATGAGTCTAATGGATGTGGAAGATATTTTAGTGTGAAATTAACTCTCATGGTGCTTCACAAAACTCATACAGGAGAGAAACCCTATGAATGCAGAGACTGTAAAAGGCCTTCAGTGGAAAGATTCATTAAACATCGGAGAGATCTTTCAGGAGATAAAATCTACAAATAAAACTTCAAGTGGGATAACTTTATTTATTAGTTATACAGTAGTGCTCTTTTGCCTACAGTTTCCCTTTCCATGGTTTCATTTACCCACAGCCCAAAAATATGACATAGAAAATTACAGAAATAAACAATTCATAAGTTTTAAATTGAATGCCATTCTGAGTGGTGTGACGAAATCTAACACCATCCACTATCCTGCCTAGGATATGAGTTGTTCCTTTGTCTAGGATGTCCATGCTGTATGTGCTACCCACCCTTTAGTCATTTAGCCATCTTGGTTGTCAGATTGCATTTCATGGGACCACAGTGTTTGCATTAAAGCAATCCTTACTTAATACTGCCCTTCCTCAAAAAAAATACTGGCCCCAAAGTGCAAGAGTAGTGATGCTGGCAATTTGGATTTACCAAAGATAAGCCATGAAGTACTTACTTAAAGTGAAATGGTGGAAGTTCTTAAGGAAAACAAATTGTATGCAGAGGTTGCTAGGCTCTACAGTAAGAATGAATCTTCTATCCATGAAGTTGTGAAGACAAAAATCTATGCTAGTTTTGATATTATACCTCAGACTGTAAAAGTTGTGGCCACAGTACATGATAAGTGCATGGAAAAGGCATTAAATTTGTGGGTAGAAGACATAAATAGAAACATGTTCCAGTTAATAGAAATTGGGGTTATACTATCTGTGGTTTCAGGCACCTACTAGGGATCTTGGAACATACCCCTGTGGAAGAGGGGGGACTACTGTACATTGTTATGTAATTCATCAAAGAGAGTAATATAAATTGAATATAAATCAAAACAGACATATTTAGCCTTCATTAGATTTAAGAACACTCAAAGTTATAATAGTCAAAGCATGCAATAAATAGGATAAACTCTACCCATGAGTTTTAATACATGGTACATCAAAGAACTTATCAAGGGTCAAAACCATGAACATAGCAAATGTTGGAAACCTTGGGAAAGAAGTATCATTTTATATCAGCACTTAAGCACTTACGTTCAGGAAACACTATCAACTCATTCATGACTGCTGACGTGAATTTACATCATTCCAAATTCTGTTCCTGGTTGTCGCTGACATGAATTTATATCTTTGCAAATTCTACTTCTGAAAGGTACAACATTGTCATACATATGTGTTAATATATTTTGCTTGGAAGTGAGTAGGCAAGGAGAACATTAATTGAGATAATTATATCGACTGCACAATGTTGTTACTGAGTTTCACAGTTGGTAAAAATTGCAAGTTGGTCGTTATTTTGTTGCAATTAGTGTTGTATACTTGTATTTTGATATCTCAGGGCTTTCATACTTAAACATTAAAAATAATTTATCATAATTATGGAAAATGAAAAAATATATGCTGTTGAGATTTCTGAGGTTGAAGGTGAATCCAGTGAACTTATTAGTGATAGTAAGACAGATAGTGATGTGATGATGTGATGTAAACAAATATAATGCAGATAATCTATGACAGTGAATCTAGCAATGGTGAGAAGGAATCAGACATTGAGCGGACAAAATGTGATCTAAAAAGAAACTTAGAAGTGTTTATTGGCAATCCAGGTGTCAAGGTATTTCCAAATGATCCTCTAAGTATAAGTGAAGTTGTTGGACTATTTATTGGAGATGATTTTATAGAAATGATCGCAACTGAAACTAACAGGTATTATGATCAGATGCACCACAGATATAAATGTTCAAAGAAATTTTAAAAAGTGGAGCACTACAGTGTCCAAGATGAAAACATTTCTAGCATTAAATGTTTTGATGGGACAAGTGAAGAAAGCCACAATACATACTTATTGGTTAACATGTCTATTAATTGCAACGCCTTTCTTTTAAAAAATAATGACACTAAATAGATTCCTACAAATTTTGTAGGTTTGGCATTTTTCCAATAATGCAGTCAAATCCAAGCAGATTATGCAAAATTGAACCCATACTAAATTATGTTTCAAATAAGTTCAACACTGTGTACAAACCTGATCAAGAACTTTCCTTGGATGAATCCATGTTACCTCATCGTGGACGACTGTCTTTTTGGGTTTATAATCCGAATAAAAATATAAAGTATGGAATGCTAGTAGGAGTGGTGTCTGAGGCAAATACCGGATATGCATGCAACTTTCAGCTGTATTATGAAAAAGGTGACAATTTAGGAAAGACTATTTCACTTGTGCTTAATAACATAAGTTTGCGGCAACCAGCTTCAGATTTTTTAAAATTTTCATCCACTCTTAGTATTAGGAAAGTGAAAAATTTGCCAGCCGCAAATGTGTTCATAAGTTGGAGGACCCAGTTTTCCTAGACGCCATGAGGAAAATTATGTTCCAGATATGTCATCATACATTTTATAGAAAAGATCACAGAGGTTAGACACTCAACTATAAGTTACACACATATTCCCTGCAGAATAGGTTATAAAGCTTTTGAAGATATGTGTTTTATAATCACGGAAAGCATATTAATCTTTGCTTGGCCAGTCTCCCGGATTATTTGCAAATAGATAATCCCTAAATTAGTTTGAGAGGAGGTGAGCCAGCAAGATTCCCAAACAAAAGGAACCCACACAGGAGACCTTGCACTTGCATTCTATCCATCAGTGCAAAAGTGCAAATGTGGAGAAAGGCTATACTCTTCTGGGATACTCTTCTCAGAACAGTGCTCACAATTTATTACTATATTATCTCTTAAGAAGTAATTATGGACTGAGTGCGGTGGCTCATGCCTATAATCCCTTAGGAGGAAGAGATGAGAGGATTGCCTGAGCTCATGGGCTCAAGACCAGCCTGGGCAACTTGGCGAGACCTCATCTCTAAAATAAATTAAAAAAAATTAGCCAGGTGCAGTGGCACATGCCTGTAGTTGCAGCTACTTGGAAGGCTGGGGCAGAAGGATCACCTGAGCCCAGCAGGTCAAGGCTGCGGTGGCTGTGAGCATGCCACTGCACTCCAGTCTGGGTGACAGAAGGAGACTCCAACTCAAAAAAAAAAAAAGTAATTATGGTGGGACAATAGGAGGTTGATGATTTCTAGGAAAGATCCTGTAAAAGTGTTAAATAAAAATTATAAGCAACTTGAATAATGATTTATTGATATATTCATAAATTGGAATAATATATTATTCATATATTTTAAGAAACTTGGAAACTTCATGGTAAACTAAAGATTATAAAATGGTACTTCGCAGAGTGATGTATATAGGAAGGGTATGCAACATGATTTATAGGGTTGTGATAATATAGGCAAATTTGATTAGTAAATGTGTCTCTATATATAGATAATGTATGTACATTCATATCTGTATTACCTATGTGTTGATTTTCACATGTGGAGAGAGACAGAACAAAAGCTAGGAAGAAAATACACCCTACTATTAATATTTATAGTTGGACACTGGAATTATCGATTTTTAGATCCCTCTGGATATAGTCTCAAATTTCCAGAAACTACTAATAAGAATTGTTTAAATATCTTTTGCAGTTTTTGGAGTTTTTTCTCCCTATGCATTTTTTATTTAGCCTTATTTTCAATATATGACACTATTCTGGTACTTTATGATGTACCTACACATACTCTTTGTTACTTATCCATGTGGTTGTCTGATCCTATTAGGAGAATACACGTATATTGTATACCTCTGATAATGTTTATCTTGTGATTTAACTGGCATAGTGATTGTCTAATGATAGCTAAAACACTTTCATACTTTTACACTTCATCCTCATTTAACCATGTAACCTAAATTGTAAGAATCCAGATTTTACAGATGAGAAAGCATTGCAGAGAGTAACTCAAGGTCCCGTGGGTAATGAGAAAAAATTCTGATGCAAACCTAAACCTCCAGAAACCAAATACAAAGCACTTTTCATTCTGATCCCAGTGACTGCTATTGGATATTTATTTTCTCTTTTCCTCTTTCTTCCCTACTCCTTCTCACCAGTTCGCAAGATGCACTGTCGTTGGTATCTCTTAATGTGGATTCATTACAAAAGTCAAGGCTTTCCATTTTATAAAAGACATTACACTGATGCATTCCTTTGATTTTTCATGGCAATATTATTAAGTAGGGAAGTACAGTCCGGCCTCTCCCAACTACACACGCACCCTGGTATTTTAAAGATGAAGATACAAAATCATAAGGAGTTTGTTTACTTAAAACTCATAGAAAACAAGTAATATAGGATTAGACGGTAACTCTTGTTCACATTCCATGGCTCTTTCATGAATCCAAGTTATGTGCTCTTCTACAATTCTTCATCTCTTCAGACCTCACCCAGTGGAACACAGGAGGGATTATGGAAGAGAGGAATGAACATCCTATGTAGTTATTTAATATCATTTCATGTTTGTCTTGAATTTAAATGCTCAGTAAGAAAGTAATGAGCAAACTTTCATTGCCATGTATACTGTAGTTGGTCCTGCCATGCCAGTAACCAGGCTGCAACAGCTAGAGGGGAACAAGGATATGTTGAAAAAAATATGTATTTTGTAGAGATGGCGTCTTGAACTCCTGTCCTCAATCAATCCTCTCACCTCAGCCTTCCAAAGTGCTGGATTACAGGTATAAGCCACCACACCTGGCCAAGGAGAAAAAAAGATACTGCAGAACTGTGGAAACAACAAGGTTTAGATGAATTAAAATTCCAGAAAGTGAAGTGCCTTTTCTAAGTAAGCTGACATTTGGTGTCCATTATGTTATCTGGGGTCATTTGCTGATTCTCAGTGTGAGCTGAAGATTGGACTTGGCCCAGGCTGATAGAGTTTACAAGGGGGAAGAGATCCTGAAGAGCTTTTGCAAATTACATAGGGCTGTCTTGCAAACTAGAAGAGCACCAAGCACATGACTAATTTTGTCCACACTACATTTGTTGGATTTGTGATGGTGTGGGAGGTTAGGGGGCTGGGCCAGGAAGGCAGTCTTACTGTGTTTTGGAAACAGTCCTAACAAGAGAAGGGGCCTGCCACAATCATGAGAAAAGAAGCTCAAGGACTCAGCTCAAAACCTATGAAGGGGAGAACTTAATTTCAAGCAGTCTTTTAAGTCTGAGGAGACAGACTCAATAGGCCCTCAAGCAAAATGCAGGAGGAAAACACCTGAGGAACAATGATAAATGAGAGTGGAGTTGTCTTAATAACACTACA